CATTTAGATTGCTGTCTTAATGACCGTCAGCCCTGTAAGTGTAGCGGCAGCATCCAATGAGGCTTCATTTGGAGCCCACCGCCATTCAGGGTGAATGAGGGGGAACAAGGGGCCCTAGACGAGGAGTGGAGTGCCGGTCTGGTTCTTCATCAGCTTCTCGTGGCTGTTGGGCTGGTAATTACACACATTATCAGTCATTAACGCAGTCTGCCAGAGTGCCTGAGACAGGCAGGGAGTTAGGCCCGGGTGCAGAGGGAGACTGCTGATGAGGGAGTTGAGGGGGTTGTGAGCACTGGGGTTGTGGACATGAAGACACATGTGCAGGCTGCACTCCGATCCGTGCCCAGCCGGTGATGGTGCAGATAGTGACATGCATAAAATTTGCAGGAAAACAAACCATAGCTGTGAAAAAAAAAAAACACAGCAGAAGGTGAAATAAATCTGTGGGACTTTTTGATTTTCACTTTTCTCGTTATTAGAATTTATGTTTTATATAAATGTCATTTTTATTATAATTATTTTTTTCTCATAGTCTATCTTTGGATCGCGGTATTTTTGATAGTATTAAAGACAGAGTACTGCGTCTGAGTACTGCAGCCATTACCTCTTGCTTAGTAGTGCCACTGAAGCCAAAAGGACAAATCGAATTGACTTCAATAATACTAATAAAATAAATAAGTACTAATAAAAACAAGTTGGACTAAAACAACCAGTTAATGCAGTTAAGAGCCAACCTACCTCCTAATAATAAATAAAAGTTCCATCATTACATCTAAAAAAAAGTATAAACTGAATGAAAAACTGAAAAAACATTTGAAATTAATTCAATTTCAGTCCAGTTTAGTCTTGGTGGAAAAAAAGGGTTGTGACCTGGTGCAGAAAATATAACACAGAAGAATTTCTGATTAAAACCAGTAAAGTGTTGACATTAAAATGTAGAATATACAGAGAAGTAGATGTGATAGTTTTGTGAATCCACTTTTACTAATGAATTAGTGACGTTTTTAATGTCGTCCTTCTTGCTGGACAGCATGCTAACAGCTAGCATGTCAAATAAAAATGATGCTATTTTTCCAGTAATTATTTTTCTAGTAAAGTAAAAAATAAATTACTACTAAAATAGCCCCCTCCTCCCCCGTCCTTCGCCCATGCTTTTATATTGGGTGAGACAGATTCAGGTCCAATTCAAATAACACAGTCCAACTATAGCTGTGGACACACTTATTCTCTTTACCTTCCTTTCTTCTTCTTCATCTTTTTCTCTGACAATATCAGACTGTGTCACCCCCCTCACCCCCCGCCTCCCTCCTCCCCTCCATCCACACACACACACACACACATACACAGACACCTCCCCACCTCCCTGTCCTCCTCACTCTCTCTCTGTGTATGTCTTCTGGGATCGCCTGAGATGCAAATGACACAAGAAAGTGATAAAAGTTGCATGTTGGCACTAACATAATTAAATATTAAACACCTTCATTTTCCCCTCCTTTTTTCTCTGCCAGAAGAAGTGCTGCCCGTGGATATTGCTGTCACGTTACAGCACTGAGAAACAGAGGAAAGGGGGGATTTATGAGGGGACTAATTCACAAACCAAATTTTCATAATGACTTTTTACACATCTATTATAAAGTAGGAGAAAATGAAAAAAAAAAAGAAAATTACGTAAAAAAGCTTAAGCAACCTGTAGGAGTGGATAAAACAAGGCTGGTAGAAAAGAGACATGTTTTTTTTAAACCAACTTTTTTGTTGAGTGGTTTTTGAACATGGCTGGTAGAAAAGAGACATGTTTTTTTAAACCAACTTTTTTGTTTTCAATTACGGTGTATTATGAAAATAATACATTAATGTGAAATTGACATTTTGAGATTGATTAAATCTATAGAAACTTCCCTCCCCACTCTCCTCAGTTGTTGGTGGTTGTTACATCATCGTTACATACGTTATTCTAATGCAAAGTGTGACCCACTTTCTTCGGTGGGTATTGTTACTGGGCTTAGTCCCACCAAACCTATTTTCTTTTCAGTGTGTTAAAACGAGGATAAAAATCATTGTGAGTGTGAGTGAGTATGTGTGTCAGTGAGTGTGTGTGTGTGTCAGTCAGTGAGTGTGTCCCTCTCCCCTGCTCTTTCTTTTTGGAAACTCTCAGCGTATAGATGTGTCAGTGTGTGTTTGCGTCATCTGTGGGCTTGGATTTGATTCACGGTGCCTCAGCAAGTGTGTCTCATGACTCCGGCTCTCCATGTGGTACAGGCTTTTCTGCTGTGCTCATCCAGGCACAGCTAAAAAAAAAGGAGTTGAGGAGGAGGAGGAAGAGGAGAAGAGGGAGGAGGAAGAAGGGCCTTGTTGCTTTTAATTGAATTGTAAATGCGAGCCGAGGGGGAACGGGGTTTGCTCCTAGCTGGGACAGACAACAGATGGGAGGCAAGGCCTGCCCTGCAGGGCCAGAGGGGTGAGAGGGGAGATGGGTGGGCGGGTGGAGGGCAGATAGATGGATGGGTGGGGGATGGGGAAGGCAAGAAAAGTGCATGCAAATGACCTGGGTTTGTGGCCTGAGTGGACCCCGTGATTTCTCTTGTTGACCCACTGTCTGCCTCTGTTTCTGCCTCGCTGATACTTTTTACAACTTTAAAAGCAATAAGTTAAACTATACCGAGCTAAGCTAAGCTAGTCTTAGCTTAGCTGAGATATGATACAATACCATACATTACACCACGATATTATACAATACAATATGGTACACTACTATACGATACTATACGATACCATACACTAAAATTGGATAGGCTATCATACACTACAATGCAATACGATACAATATGGTACACTCCTACATGATACAATACACTGTTATACGGTACGATATGAAACACTACAATACAATATGATACACAACAACGCAATACGATACGGTACGATATGAAACACTACATTACGAAGCTATACGATACACTACGATACGATACGATATGATACCATACAATGCGATACATTACAATAAAATATGATAGGATATGATACACTACATTGTAATATGATATGATATACTACAATATGATACCATACACAAAAATTCGATAGGATAAGATCCACTACAGTGCAATATGATTCGATACATCGGATATAAGATTTAATATAAGATGAGCTAACCTTAGCTAAGCTTTGATAGAATAATATCTTTAGCAGTCCAACAACACCATAGTCCAACTCACTGACCTGACACAAACTCTCCTTTTCACCACTGCCAAATATACATAACGTCATTTAAACTCTGACTTTTCAGATGGTAAAAACAGACTGTATTTAAAGCAGTTTCCTGTGCACTTTTATAGGCAGTTAGAGATACGCTAACCTGATACTCAAAGTAAATCATACAAGCCTCAATAAATACAAATGGATAATAAAAAAAAACTCTTGCTGTGGACCAAAAATCCAGAGTCTTCTGGACAGTGATATCCACAGGAAGTGTTGTGTTTTTTTTCCTCCCGTCTGACTCTCTGTCTCCCCTTTCTCCTCAAACACAGGAAAACTGCCCCAGTCTGCCCTCCTCAGGTGAACAGGGTTTCTGTCACAGCATCAGGCAGAGTAGGTCAGAAAGTGAGTCTCTCTCTCTCTCGCTCTCTCTCTCACAGACACACACACGTTCACTAGGTCAATGCAGGCTTTAGCCCTGGACTAGATTAAGGGTATTTGGGTTGTTTGTGCATTTGTGACGATGATAACTCCTCACGGGATATCCTCTCATTTTATTGAACTGATCGACACCATAATTGGATTTGACAGCATATATATATGTTATATATATATATATATATATATATATATATATAGGCTAACAACACATCTGCTAATTAATTTTTCACATTTTCAGACATTTATATGTCAAACCTTCAAATGTCACTTATTATTTTAAAGACAGAAATCCTTTGATATTTTCTTTCTCTAAATATTATTTTTGCTAAAACCTTTAATAAATTTCATATAGAAGCCCAAATAAATCACACCTCTATTCTAACTGATTGGGTTTTTTTCGGAGAGCGACTGCACTACAGGATGACTGACTATTCACTGATTAAGTTGAGAAATGTAATAATGAGGCGCCTGCTGCTCCGGCAATAACATTCAGACGAACACACACCTCCAGCCCGCCGTACTTTCCTCCTCTCTTTCCTTGAATATTTTATTTTCTCTATCATTTGGGATATGATTTTGTATTTTTCCCCCTCTCTTTCATTTCTCGCAGACATTACTTATGATGGATACTTCTCATAACTGTCTCTGCAGGCGTGATGTCACCAAGCTGCCTGAGTTAATCTCTCTGCTCCCAGACAGCATATTCACAGCCTTGGGGCTCGTCCCCGCTCCTACATCTATCTGAAGCCAGCACATGCACTGTTGCTCTCCAATAACTCCACTCAATATTCCCCCCCCCCCCCCAACCCCCCCCCCCCCCCGCCCTCAACCCTTCTACACACACACACCTTTCAGAGTGTACTGCCGTTCACCGCCGCATTTTTATTCCATTATTAATCTGCGGACGCATCTGCCAAATAATTAACCTGGCTGAGTTATTTATTCCCCCGGTGCTAATACCCTACCTGTGTTTGGGAGGCAGAGGGGAGGACAATGCCATTGAAATGTCCTCTCGCAGGCGAAAGGAGACCACAGAGGGTGAGGGTAAGCGTGTGTGTGTGTGGGTGGGTTTGTAGACGCCAAGGAAAAGGTTTGGGGTCTCGCCTCGACCGTATGCAGGCGGCTACAGGCGACTGGAGTGGGAGTATTACAAATGCACCAGTAACCTTTCGGTTAATGAAAAAGAGGAGGTGCTAATAAAAGGGGAA